TTATGGATTAAAATTATTTAAGCTTTATGAAACATGATTGATGCATCAATATCTTAACCTTTACTAATCTTCAACTTACGCAAACTATTCAATTAAGTTTCTAAAAATAATCTTCTCTTAAATCTGTAATAACATACCATTAGCAATGTTCTGCATTCAATATTCGAAATAACCTTCGTGTGCCTTCCTTTAATCGACTCCCTCTTTGCTCATTTCTGAAACATCTGTTTATCATCTTTTTTTTTGGTTATGAAAAATTTATTGAATAGATTTTACTCTAGGAGATAATTTCCCATGTAAAATGTGAATTTATGGGAATGGAGCAAAAAATCAATTTTCTTGAATATTCAATTTTATTGAGAACATCTTGTATGATCTTGGAAAGTTTTTAGGAATAATTGATGAAATTGAATCTTGATTGCTTGATCCCAAGATATTCATATATTGTTATGGTTGGATTTAAGAGATTTTATTGATGCCAAAGGGATGAAGAAGCTTTAAAATTTTAGATTCGATTTCAATTGGTCTAATTTTGTTCTTTAGAATTAAAAATGAAGGTTGAGAAGATTTCTGATTTAAGTTTATTAAAATTTCAATTTTCGTTAAAAGATCTTGATGGTTTGGATTGTGTAATTGATCTTTTGATTGATTAACTTAAGAGTTAAGAGCTATTTTGGCAAATATAATCTAGTAAAGATTGTAAACAATTCAATTTATAATATTTCTGCATTTTCTTTTATTTCGTGAGCTGATGAAGCTACAAAGCACTCAGCAGAGTATCTCTGCATACCAGCATAATGCTTCCATCGACATCACTGGCTTGTATTTTCAACTTAAAATAGATAATATTGCATGTTTGGTATCTTAAACTTCAGAGACAAGCATCTTTTCAATTCCACCGAAGCACTTGACTGCTCAAAATTCCAATTCCACATTACGACTTGATAATCTTTAATAGAAAGTACATTTTTTTACGACTTGGATGCACATAATCTATTTTTTTTAACGAAGTTAGTCAGATATAATTTATGTCCAATTCGGGAAAATGGAAATGAATTGAATGTAAAATTTAAGATAAAAATCGTGATCATCATTCGTATACCATTTATGTAGAAGTACTTTTTCCTTTATTGAGCATTTACTCATTTTTAACTCTGTAAAATTGACCTATAGAAAGTCTCAAAATATCTTTCCCATATGAACAATTTCTGCTGACTAAGTTAGACTGCCCGTATAAGTAACTGCATGAGAATTATGAGCATACATGTAAGTGCAGATGCAAAGGAATGGAAAATTGGTCTATGCGGCATATTGAAATAGATAGAGTCGAATGAAAGTTTTGATAAAATTTTAATTGACTGAAATTAATTTCAACAATTTCTGCTTTTATATCTCACATTTCAATTGATTTCCTCTACAAACTTGTCCATATTGTGAACTTAAATATTGTGAAATCCAATTCAATTCAATTTCTCAAATCTAATTAATTAACTTATAGTATGTGTGTATAATTATCTAATGAACATAATCGTATGAATTGGATTGAAATTGATGATTTAATAGCCAAACAATTAAAACAACAGAAAAAAATTTATGTTTTATAGCTTTAGCTACTATCTCGAATTGTATTTTATTTACTGTACATATAGACAGCAGTCAGCTACTGTTTTGTTAAATGATTTTCATTTTTCAACATCGTTAATACAAAAAAAAATATTTTCTTCGGCTTTCCTTCTTTGTTATCAGCTCATAAACCATCAGAAAATACAATGTAAAATGGATTCATAATTTTAAACGAAAGTTTTTATATCGGATGAATTTAATTTGCTGTTGGGTAGCATCGAAGCGAAAACTATTACGTGGCTAAGCTAAACTGAGATAATCTACTCTATAATTTCCCAAACTCTTTCAACAATGTTTAAAATTTTAATTTTTGATTATGATGTCCCATTGTTTTTCGGAGGTATTAAATTGTTATTTTAAATGGAAGTGCCATCAAAATTCCATTTAAAGTATGAATGAATTTGTGATTTAATTTATTTTGGGGGCGAAAAAATTAATTTGCAAATAATGAGAAAGAGTTTTTAATAAATTTGCTCAAATTCAGTTTTAAGTTTTCAAGCTTAATATTTTAGTCAATTAGCTAATTAGACATAAAATAACACTTATTCTGATACGCTTCTCCTCAATGATTCACACTCCTTCAAACTCCTTCAAACGACCAAAGTCATATGAAACACTCACAGTTCCTTGTACTTAACTTTACTAGGTTAATTCCATTTCATTTAGATGGTTAATGCCATTCCAATTTAATGTTCTAAATTGCAAATTTCAATCTCACTGATAAAATCCATTTACTCTATCAAATCTAGACCGTCGATGTAATTTTATGACTTCAAACTAAAATCATAGAAAATAATCACAAAAATGAAAATCGATCAGCAACTCATTATCTAGATTAAAATTTAATTTTGTTAAAGATCTCAATACCTAGATTAAAGCATGAAGTATTTGAACTAATAACTAGGTTAAATGAACTCTAATCTATTTTATACGGAAAATGATTTTAATCAAGTGTGAATTTTGTTATTCAAACTTATCTAATTGCTGGTGCTCTAGACTTTTTGTGATATGACTAAAACAAAGTTTCAATTCCAACATATAATTGAGACAACATATTCTGATGCTGGTCTCATAAATCAACGCTAAAGAAAAAAACATTAAAAAATATGTAAATTAACTCCAAGATATTCATTTCACTAAGCATTGTTTGCCATAAATTAACTCAACAAAAACAGTTTAAATCTTCATAAATTTTTTGAAGTTTCACCTGAAAAAAAACAGTCTTAATTTAGTTGCAACAAAATGATTTAATCACTTGATATACATGGTAAAATGATTTGATAATGAAATTAAAAACCAAAAGACCTTTCTTTTTTCTTCCATTCCTTCATTTCTGATTTTATCATCGACGTATATCTTCTTTGTTACCTTTTCTTCCTCATTTATTACAGTCGCATTTCTATGCGAAGTAAATTAATTTTGATATCGAAATTCTTTATACTTTCAAAAATAGTCTCACTTGATTGTTACGGAATTTAATTTTTCAATGGCATTTTTGAGTGTTCTGGATTTGTGTAAATATATATAAAAATAAAAAACTTTCAAAACAATTTCTATAACTGACAAGATTCTCAATAGGAGAGAAAATTAATTTGCTGTTAAGTGCTTTACAACTTTGTTTGAAGTGTAGCTAAAGTAGAGGAAGAGAGTTTGAAGAAAATATTTGTGGCTTTTTAACCGAAATCTCTCGAGTTATTTATGACATTTTGAAATTTTTTTATGGATTGAGATTAAAAGCCATTGACAAAGAAATCTTCGAGTGGAATTTGATTAGATTTGATTTGAATTTTTGTGTCGCGTGGATTGAAAGTTGAAGATACCGACAGAGACTTTTGGGAATTTAGAAATATTTTGCTGCACATACTGTCTACTCTCTGGTCTCTAGTCTCTAGTCTCTAGTCTCTAGTCTCTAGTCTCCAGTCTTTAGCCTCCAGTATCTAAACTCTACTCTCTGGTCTGAAAAGTATTCCGGTAAAGTACAATAAACTCATAATTAAATCAATCAACACAGCCATACCTCAAATAATCCAAGCCCTTCAAACTCACCTCAAAACATCGCAAACTTATTGACAGAATTAATGAGCAAAATCCATTATAAATTAACTATAATCCTATTAAGTGCTTAATTACATAAAATTTATTTCTATTTTGATAGAAAATACAAAATAATCATTCACAGCATTTATAGCTGTTGTAATAATTTCATTAGCTGCTTTTCTTCTCCTGCTTGTTTCTATTTCTTTTATGATTCATTATGAAAAACTCTCACTCGCTCGCGCTCTCTGTGTCGATGAGGGATTTTAAAAGAAGATTTATATGTACAGCTATAATGATATGGCATTGATTTAATAGGCTTCATCTACTTTATGTTGATTCTGCATTGATCCATTTAGATTTTCTGAATGAATGATTTTTGAATTAAGCGAATTTGCAGTAACTCTCCAGCGTTTACTATTGTGTCCATAAAATTGTGAAAAGTTCATCTATATCAAACAAAACAGACATAACAATCTGGTAAACTATCTCCTCATGCCGTCAATTTACTTCTTAATGCTATATTAATTAGTATTCCATAGCATTGTTTATGGGAATGTGACTGTTCATGCCCTTAAATGAGAATACAACATGCATCCAAAATAGACACAACTTTTTATTATTCATTGTAGTCGATTACTGTTCTCATCCATTTATAAATGTGTGTGGATATGGTCAGAATAGAGTAAAAAGGTAGGAAAAAGTTAAATAAAAATCATCATGCATTTCATGTCTCATGCTGGTCACTTGATGTATTGCGTGGCATCAGCTCATGAATAAACATACGGAATAGCTTAAAGTTATCACAATAGACATAATATTGAAGTGAGTTAAAGCTTGGCAGTTGATGGAAAGTGATATAAATTTTTATTGGATTTTGTGGATTTAAATTGGAGAAATATTTTAATTAGAAGTTTATGGATATTTTTTTTGCAGAATTTTAGTATTGGATTACAAATAAAATTTGATACTGTTGGTGGATGTGAAGGAAATTTTTATGAGTTTACTAATATTATTGATGTATGTTGGAACTTAAGTTATAAATTGATTATAGTTTGAAATTTCTTTCGCGAAGAATGAACGGGCTGAACAATGTCATCAAAGTTTTAAATAAAAACAAGGTTTAAACACAGAAAGATTTTAAAAGCTTTATTCTTCTTTAAATTTCTATAATTGAAAACATAAAGGTATTAATTAACATTTAATTTTACAATTGTTGATATTTTTAAATGTGTTTGAAAAATATTTTTCAAAAATAACATTTAAAGCTTTTCTAGAACCAGGATAAATGATTCTTCTTTCTTTTCTGCTTACAACGCTGATTTAAGGTTTAAAAAACTATTTTAAAGCAGATAGATATTGACAACATCATTAACGTGTTCTAAATCTTTTAAAACTATATTCATATTTAAGATATGAAAAAGATTTAATTTTTCTTGCTCGTTAAGATTAAGTTTTGAATTAATTGATTGATTTTTAAGATAATTGATCAGTTTAGTTTTATCATTTTTAAAAAGAATTTCGAAATATTCTGTTACATTCGCGCACATTTGGTATGACATATTTTCAAAACATTTTAAAAAGTTACTATCAGATATTAAAAAGTTTTGAAGTTCGTCATTTGATTTCTTGTACTTGATATAAATATTAGAAATTCTTTCAAAAGTTTGTAAGTTATTTGATCTAATTGCTATGAGCAATGGATGAAAACTACTTGAATATTCGTAAAAAAGATGTGCGCCAATGATTTGTTTGATTAGTTCTTCATCATTATCACAAATTTTTACAACAAATTCTTCAAATAAATTAAATATTTGCTCATTGAAAATTAGATTAAAATTTTCATCACGATAATTTTGAAATAATAAGTTTAGTCTATTTTTATTTGAATTAAAAATTTCTTTTGTAAAGTCACAAAGCTCTTGACAGATTTTATATTTTATGAAGAAGAATATTTCGGGGAAAATTTTCTGTGTTATTAAAATATCTTGGATGTCTCCCCAAGATTTCTTGAAATTTGTGTAAAAATTTCTGATTCTTTTAAAAGTATTAAGATTTTCAGACTGAATAGACTTCATCAACATACTACTAATCATATTACTTTTGCTTAGTGAAAATCCTCCTACAAAATCTACTCCACTAATTAAATCTTCAAATAGTTCAAATGAATCTTCATTCGTGATAATTTGAATAATTTCCGGATGACTTATTCGATTAAAATGTTCTAAAATTTTATCCTTGTTTGAGTTAAAAACTTGCTTTAAAAATTTCATGCAACTTTCACGCATTTCTAGTCTCATGTTAATGAATAAGTCGAAATATTTGAAATTTTTCATAAAAACATCTTGAAGTTGTTGCCAAGTTGTCTTATATTTCACATAAAGATTTTTAATTCTTTCAAAATCCTGCAAATTTTCTAATTCCATGGCTTTAAATAATGGATGAATGTGGAATGGATAATCTTGATATAGAACGAAATTAATAACTTTGTTCAATTCAAACTCAGAATTATCGAAATAATCAAGCAGAAAATCTTCAAATCCCTGGAATTTTTTTTCATTCATAATTAAGTCATAGTTAATTTTGTCATTTCTTTCTACACATTCAACAAGTTTGCTCTTATTTTTTAAAAATACTTCTTTAATAAATCCTTTAAGCTCGTTTGAAATGTCAACTGATGCATTAGAATAAAGTTCAATAATGCATTTTGATGAAATAAAAATGTTTTGAAGTTCCTCATCAGAACTTTTAAATTTTATGCAAAAGTTTCGAACCCATCGAAAAGTTTTAATATTATTCGTTTGTAAAGCTGCCTGCAATAAATGTCCACAAAATTGACTATCAACACTAAGAGATTCTTTAAGAGCTTTTCTAACCTCAACTCTATCATTATTCAAAGCATAATTAAAAATGTCTTCAAGAAACTTATATTTTTTCTCGTTTAACACAACTTCAGTTTCATGACGATAAACCCAATTTTTCATGAATTTCAATAACACGTGTTTATTTTGTGCAAACACTTGAAATACAAATGTTTTTAGATTTTGACGAAAACTTGAAGGAACACTTAAAAATAAGTCAGGAAACTTATGATGTGAGAGGAAAATGTCTTGAATATTTTTCCAAGAATCCTTTTTTCGGTAAGACGTGAAAACAAATTTAAGTCTATTAAACATTTTAAGATTTTTTGATTCTATAGCTTTTATCAGCGGATGTGAATTCAATGTAAATTGTTGCGTCAAAAAGTCACTAATGACTTCTTTTGTTTGGTATTGAATGAAAATAAATTCAATAAAATTTTCGAAAACATCAAAATGATCCTCATTTAAAATCAATTGAAGGTTGATTTCATCATTGCCGCCAAGACATTTGAGAATTTTGTTCGTATTTGCAGAAAAAGTTTCCTTCAAAAACATACAAAACTCATCAAAAATTTCGTCGTTAAGATGAATCAAAATGTTAATTAAATTTTTATGCAGCATAAAAATATTTTGAAGTTCTTCATTTGAATTTTTATATGTAAGAAAAAAAACCTTAATTTCACGAAATTCTGAAGCGTTTTTTGATTTAATTGCTTCGAATATAATATCAGCTTTGGTTTCACGCTCACCGAATAAAATTTCTCGAATGATTTTCGTTACATTTTGTAAGTCGAAAATATTATTTAGAAAATTTTCAAAAAATTTAAAATGTTCAACATTTTTCGTCAGGTTTTGTTTGTTTAAATCTTTAGATTTGTTATCATTTAACTGATTTTTATCATTTGCAAACAAATCTTTCATAAAATTTAAGAAATTTTCATAATTTTCAATCACTGTGTGAGAGAAAATTGTCGAAAGTTTTAGAGAATTACAAAAAATATTTTGAATTTCATGTGTTGGATAACTCAAATAAATGTCTTTAATTTTTATAAATATCCTTGTATTCAGTAATGTTAAAGCAATAAATAAAGGACGATTTTTAAAGCTAATCTTCGTTGATTTGGGGAATAAAATCTCTTTTATTTTTTCTGTATTTTCTTTAGAAAGCTTTTCTTTATCGAAAATATTGAGGACTAAAATTTCTATGCATCTTTCACTTAGTTTATCACGTTTAGAATAAATTATATCTAAAAGCACGATAGAAAAATTTTGATTATTTCCTTTAAATATTAAGGAACATTTTTGAAATATTTCACAACTAATGTACTCAAAATAATCTACAAGTATTACTTTAATAAAGTTATTCAAACATTTTTCTTTCTCCTGATTTGAGAAATCTGTTTCAATTAAGTCTAATATCTTTAGTAAGTTTTTGTTGAGTTCAATAAATTCTTTTTTACCTTTAAAATGAACATTGGAATTTTTTGATTTCTGAATAATTTTCAAAGTAAAATTTTCTTCCCAATCATTACCGAAACATCTATGAAGAGTTTCTATGATTGTTTTAAAACTTTCTGGCTTCAATTCTGCGTTACACAAAATTTTACGCAATAAATTTTTTTCTTTATGAGTTTCCCATAATTTTTTAAGCGACTTTGACTCACTTGACAATATTGAAGAACAAAATTCGATCACATTTGGTGAAAACTTTTCGAGAACTTCCTTACGAATCTCCTTTCTTGAATTTATTACAATTGAACGAATTTGCTTAGCTGGAATTTCATTTTTATCATGTTTGATTTTGCACAAAACAAATTCCCGAATTATTTGAAGTTCTGTAAATCTATTTAGTGGAAAAAGCATAAAATTAATAATCTTACGAAATTCTTTGTCCTTTGTGTCACAATCCTTTTGATATAAAAATTCCATTAAAAAATGAGCAACGAAAAATTCTCCGTACGTTCGATGTATAAAATCAATATCCTTTGCTTTATCATTTGTAGCATTTTTAGTTATTGTAAGAATTCCATAGCTCTGAATTTGATCCATTTGCCAATTCATATTGTGCTTCATAAATTGTAGTTTTTGCAAATTAATTCCATATTGTTTCTGACACTCTGGTAAAAATATCATTTTTAGTCCGTAATATTGATGAACTTGGCCAATTGAAAAACTTGAAAGGAGGCGACGGTCTTCATAATAAATTCTTTTATCAAAATTCTGCATTAGTCGTTTATTGATTTTCTCGAATGTTTCATACAAATTTAAAGATTCTGACTTAAGATTAATCATTTTCTTTGCATATAGCTCAGTAATAATTTCAATCATTAACGGATTATCGATTTGATTGCAATTTTCAACAGTTTTGAAAAAGTTTTGAAAGTCTTTAAGTGCTATGTCTTGACTAATTTTGTCAGTTATATTAAATTTTGATAAAATATATATTAAAAAAAAATTTAATATTTTAAAATTTCTTATCAAATCATTAAAATTATTAATCTACCTAGGATGAAATCACTCTTTTCAGCCCAAGTGTATGGAACAAATTTATATGCTTTTCAAGTGATAATTTTTCACCTTGAAACTCAATAGTTGAATGCAATATTTTTGCTTTCATTGGATTTGTAAGATTTTTGAATTCAATTTCGACGTCTTCATTTTGCAGGTCTTCAAGAACGTTTAATGCATTTACCAGTTCAGGTTCAACAATGTCTTTGAAATAACTGAACAAGCATTCAAATTTGTTTCGAATTTCATCCATTTTAACAGAGTTTTCACACTTAATGTTTGGAAATGCAATAAAATATTGCATTATCATTTGTGCAACAGCTACAATCAACTCTGAATGTTTATGCTCCTCTATATACAAATTAAAAACATTTTCAATAATTTTTTCTGTTTTTTGATTCTCTTCACATTCTGGAGCGACTTTGTCTTCAAATCTTTCCTTTTCTATTGATGGTCCCATTGGATATGGATCATATGTATTCATAAAAGTAATTAATATTGCAAGATGACATAATTCATGAATTATTGCACCGAGTGCACTATATTTCTTTTCTTCATCTAAAAGATTTAATGCACCACTGTAGATATCTCCTGAGTTATAAACAGTCCCAAGAGTATTTGGTGATTTTGTCGGGTCCAAAACATAAACTGACTCTTCTTTGAAGTTAAAGAAGATTTTTGTATTTTTCCAAATTGCGGCAACTTTTAAAATTTTTGAGCATGTTTCGTTTGAGTCGATAAGTTTAAATGCATCCTCAACATATTTCCATCTAGTATTAGATTCACTATCATTGTAGCCAATTTCTGACTTCAATTTGAGAACAGAAAGATATGATTTTGGATCACTTTTTGCAAATTTTTTGCTTTGGTTTCTCAATTCTTTACAATAATTAATGTCGAGTTCTTCGTAAATTTCTTCAAAAGATTCATTTGTTGCAATGTCGAGTCCCATTGAAATTAATAACTTACGTATTTCCAAGCTCTGCGATTGAACTGCATGCGAGAGCAGAGATTGATTATTTTTATTAAAGATAAACTTTAAATTTGGTTCTTTTTTGATTTTAGCCTTAATTGACTCAACATTGTATTCATCAACATCATTATGAATTTCTTCACAAAATTGTATAAAATCTCGAACTTCCTTTGATGTTTTGTTTTTATCAAATCCAACATTTTCAGGATATTTTGAGTTTGATTTGAGAAGTTTTAAAATAATCTGATCTTTTTTGTATTTTGAAATGTGATCGATTGGATCAACAAAGATTGAAGAAGCACATTCAATAGCATTTAAATTTTCTTCGTTTTTATGTTCAACATCAAACTGATAGTAAAGTAACTTTTCCACTAAATCTTTATCATTAGCTTTTGACGCAAGAATCAATAAATTTGAATTGTTCTTGTCGCCAATATCAGTAATAGAAATTTTTTGCTTATTTTTAAACGTTTTTAGTATTCCTTAAAAATTAGAAAATTTAAATTCAATTAATCTTTTATGGTCAAGATTAAATTAAATGAAATAAAATCAATACCTGTTCTAAAATTTTTTATTTCCTCGATAAGATAGTTTTGACAGAAATGCGCAACAAATTCATCGTTAATTTCAAATGAGTAAATTTCAGTCAGGTCTCGAACTTTCCAAAAGAAATAACTTTGACTTTTTAATTGATATGAAATTGATATGAAAATTGAATACTCATTTCCAAAGTGATTCAATTGAAGATCTTTAATATCATCAATGGCTGTTGAAATGATCAAACTAATTTGAAGAAAATTTGTTTTGTTTGAAAATTTTTCATAATTTGATTTTATTGAAATCCATTCGATTGCCTCTTGAGTTGATGAAAATTCTTTGTTTATGTGTGAATGATCATTAGTTATCGTTATGTGATTATCGATGTCTAAACTTCTCGTGATTTTGTTTCTTTCTCCTAATAAGTGCGCAGAAGAACTAGGAACTGATAATCTTCTGGCTAAAGAATTTGAATCCATCTCTAAAATTGAAACTATAAAAAAATAATTAACATTTAAATTTATTTATAAACAAGCCCGATTGGAAGCAACTTCCAACTAGATGCAAAGTGGTTCCCACGTGGATGCAATTGCCAATTGGCTGCCGCTTGGTTTTAATTATAATATCAATCAGACTACCGAGTGGCAAACATTTCAATGAATTTCAATGTGTGCCGATCGGGAAGGTTGTAAAACTAAGTAATTCATCTATTCCACACTCTTATCTACAAATGTATCATTCTCATTTTTCATATTTAGAAATGATTATAGGAGTTTCCATTAAGAGCCGTTTGATATTTTTTGTTTCATTAAATTATCTTAATTTAAATTTTTAAATGAATAAGTTTTAGCAAAAAAGAGAGTTTCCAAAAACTTAATGTTAGATTATTTAAATAAAAATACCAAGAAAAGATAAAATGTGGATTCAAAAGCAAAAACATATTATGAATCATTTATTTTTTATGAATTATTCGAAACTCAATAACAATGCAAAGAATTTGTGAAATTTTAAATAAAAAATTTCATTTGAGATCAATATCATATTCACACAAAATTTTCAATTTTTGTGAATATATTTACCTTTTGTTTTCAATTTTAACAGTTCTTATTGATTTCTAAATTCACTTATTAAGTCTTACTGAGTTTTAAATAACTTTTCAGAATTAATTTTCTAATATTTTTTTTAATTTTTCCATATTTTTATCTTCTTGTGCGCAGAATTAAATTAAATTTAACCAAAATTTGCTAACTTGAATATCAGTTGAGCCGAAAATCAATTAAAGAAATTAAAATTTCAT